GATCTCGCAATTATAAAGTCATAATTGAATTACAAGGAAGGTGCTCGCGAGGGCACATTCCTTCCCGATCGCGTATACATGTACGCCAAAAGCGTTATTTATCATTCGTTCTTTGAAGTCGGTTCCGGGATGTTCCGTTCCTTTCTCGTGCGGAATCTCTCGTTGTGTAGATAGATAAATCAAGTATTGATTTTCTTGATTTGTGAAAAATTACATTTGTGTGCGACTCGTTGACTAAGATGCTGCAAGTTAAAAAATCTCAACAAATGATAACTCCCGTCCAATAATGAATATGATTATTACGTAAACTTGTACTAAAATCCTCTTAAAATAAAACTGACTATATAACACAAAAAATTCTATATAATGCGGTGTCGGCAAAAATGATCGCACTCACATCTATTGCATACTTTATTTAACATATTTAATGTTTGCTCTTCTGTACATTTGCTCTTCTGTCTCACATATGTTATGCAATTTCGAATTAAACCAAGACAATCCGTCATTGTAACGCGCAGGTCATTATGACGAGACGGATTTAACATGCAGATTATGACTAGCGAGCGAGAGACGACTATAAATGCTGCACGTTGCGCGGAGGCATTTCCGCAACTACTACCAATTATGACGAAGCGAGAGGTGACATTAGAGATTACTTTGATTGAGTTTTGAATGTCCGTACCGAGTAATTCTTCACCCCCGGAACCTGATGCATTTGCGTCAATGTATATATATGTAAATGATTATGCAACCCGTCCGGAAGTATTTGATTGGCGTTTAATTGTTAGCACTATTATCGCGTGGTAAAATTATAACGATAGTGAAAACGTGGAAAATTTGAGATTGTTGATTTTTTGAAATCGCTCATCCCCTGAATCCTAGATCGCGGATTTTATTTTGCTCGGCTTTGTTTGCTTGAAAGAAAGAAGCAACTTTTTGACTCCATATCCATCGGAAATTGCTCTTCTCTTTGGCGCAGTTTTTTATAACTTTATTATCATATTTGTAATAGTTTAATCTAGCACTATTGTATAATTTCGTTAGTACAATTTTCAAGCTGATGGAATATTGCATAGACTGTAATATAGTTCTGATAAATATCTATTACAGCCAAAATATCTATAGAGAGTATGTGGGGGGAGGGGGGGTGAGAATTCGGATACTCCACGATACGATACGTCCAAATGCCACTTGATTATTCTCAAGATATTACAACTTTGGAATGTTAATCTTTCACAAATATTCAACAAGCATACTTTCTCTGAAATTTCCATTCTCATTACTTTATAAATGATAATTCGCATAAGCGATACGTATCAAGAGTATTTTCTCGAAGCATGTCTGATTTGCTCGCGAAATATGCACTTTGTCACGATGCAATTATCTCGAAAAATGCGAAAAGAAGTAACGGCTCGATAAATATTTATTCTCGCAGTATCGATGTGATATTAATCGATGATATATGAATTCTTTTGTATGAAAGTAACGAGAAATATTTGTGGTGCTTAAGTAGAATCGCGAGTGATGACGCGTTTCAAACTCATCGCTTAATAATTCGCATCATTATCGTGTTATCAAGAACTATAATTTTGCATGAAATCGACAGTTTTATAGCATGAGTATTCTGTATGGCGTCAATTTGCAAACACAAGTGACGACAAATTACTCATGTTGAATTGCATCAAACTTCTTTATTACACTCGCGCGTTTTCCGCATCTGTATCTTGTCAATTTGTGACGAAAGAAGTGAATTAAATGTATGTATCACGACAGACTGTCTCGAATTATAAAATTGTGAATTGTGATCACAGTCCTCATGGATTCGAAATTGAAAACGTGATCATATTTTTGTTGTCCGCTTTTAAATTTTACGTGATTGTGATTTGTGTGTGTATGTGTGTGTGTGTGGGGGGGGGGGGCGTGTATCACAATTATGTACATATTTAAACAAGGAAAACAAGGAAATAGCTAACAGCTAATGCAGAACGTAATTTTATATTTTATTATTTATTTGTAAAAGTTTAAATTGCAGAAAATATGATCGTCAAAGCACAGTTCTTGATAATTATATATCTAGTATAATCAATAAATATTGAGAAAAACGAATGAGGAGATGATGGATATTTCAGTATTTGATTCTATCGATGCTGCGCTCTATTCTCGGCCGCTCTATTTCCGGATAATAGTTTCTATTATCCACAATAAATGCCGCGTGCGCACCGAGAAATAGATGAATAGAAACTATTTATAAAGAGCGCGTTTAAAGAAGACGCGAGTAGCTTTGATTTATTTCAGTTTTGAGATATTGGTAATAAGATTGTCAATCGACGCTGCGTTCAGCTCACGTTCAATCCCTTTATGTGGCCGTCGTAATATAATAGTTTGTTTTACGGCAGGGCTAGTCCGCACGGTTCGCGGAACACGGAGTGAGAATGTTCCGCGATTAATCGTGTTATCATTTGTTAGAAGTGTTTAACAAGTGTAAATTTACAAAGTGACCAAGTTACGATGTAACTATCTATAATTTTTGAAAGTGAAAAGTGCGAGAATTTTAATTTTGATTCAATAGTGCGTGTAATTCTACAAATTTTTTATATATTCATCGATTTTTTAATTGAAGCTGACTTGTGAGTGAAATGCAGCCCGAGGCGAAATCTGCAGGGGATGGAACAGAAAGTGCATTAGCCTAGTTGACGAGTACAATTATTTCCTTCTTTCCAGTTCGTTTCTTCATTATTTAAATATGTACATAATTGTCACAGCATGCATCGGAAATTATATTATGATGTTGTTCTAGGCTTGAAAGCTATCAAAACTCCATCCGTCGTGTCGCAGAAGAAGGAAACGCAACTCAAGTGTTTATTGAATCGTTATCTCAAATTATGATGACAAAAATAAAAGATTGCACTCGTACTTGAGAAAAACAACTGAACAAATAATAATTTTATAATATACAATACATTACTTACCTACATACACAGACCAATACAAGCCTTTAAATCTTGATCGGAAACTTTTAATTGACAAAGACTATCGAAAGTTTACTAGAGATTTGCTATGACTTTTCGCCACCATTGTTACATTTAAATTCAATCTGTAATTCTTCAAACAGCAAATAGCAAATAGCAATTTTTTGCCATTAATTTATAATTTCATAAATTTGTACTGCAAATCCAGTATATATTTGTGAATTTAAGCACACAAATTGCTCGAGTGATACATCACTAAAACAATAATCTTTGTTTGTTATGTCATTGTGCTTACGGGACGCTAAACGGCAAATCGTTAAATAGTAGTATAGTAGTATAAAATGGTACACGATGGTACCACCGCGCGAAGGGTCTGTCTTGCTCGCGCGTACGTACTAGCGACGAGCACACCAGCGACGATAGCGATCGATAGTCTAACGGCTGTCTTATCACAGTCATTGTACACAAGATTCTCCAACGTATTGGCCGCACCGCCTTTTATTCTGTAATAGAACGCAGACGATCCGACCACGGCCTCGAAATAGTTGCTTTATTACTCTACACTAACGCGACATATCGCGTGATTACGCGCCCCTTGTTTAAATACACATGTGACGAATGATTACGTGGAATTAAAAATATTCACGTGCAAGAGCTCGCATTCGTATCCGCTAGATGATTAACAAGCACACTTGTTTTTTCCATTGTGGCGATAATTAACTCGCAGCCTTCGAGTTGTACAGATTGTTTTGGTACTCGATATATTTGTCGAATATAATACACATATATTAGAAATGTAGGATGCGTAACGCATTGTTGTGTCAGAAAAATATTTGTTAACATTCATAGACCTTTCTACACTTTTTTATTTAAAAATTTTACGAGTAATAAAATTCCCGATTTGCATAGTGTCTATAATTTATATATGCGCAGAATCAATAGAATTGATAGAAAATATAATTTTTATCTTGTGAGTATCTTTGCGGTAAGCGCACAACACGCGATAATCTTTTCTAATCATGTGAATTATCTTCTTATAAATTTATGGCTCTTCACTTGACGTGATCACTTGTGAATTGATTTTGATGGACGGTTAGATATAGCGTGCCGATAATAGGTTCCAAGATTCTATCTTGAAAGGTACTTTTCACAGTCGTGATGGAAAATTTAGACGCCGCGTAACTCGTAGCGCACAATAGTCGAGCGCTATTAAGATCATTACCTATATTGCATATCGATTGAAAAAATGTTCAACCTGAGCTTTGATGATGCACTTATGTTAGATCTCGACCAAACTCGACTGACAATGAGAAAGCTGCTGCACTTGCGCGACTATAATCACGGTATTTATACACTCGGTGACCTTGAAATTATCCATACCGTCTTGCGAGCCTTGAACTTGACGTCGAAGAATCTCGTACCAACTTGGCACCACTTGGCGCACAATTATTCAAATCGGTCTACTTATATCTGCATTCTCGACGCGAATTAGACTCTCTCATATACCTTGCTTCGATTTTCTATAATTTTTAATAACGATTGCAGCTGGTGCATCCCACGTATTGCTAAATGTGACCGCATCTAATTCAGTAGGCCTATTTTTATGGTCGATCGGACATTTGGTGCGCGTTCACCGTGTGTCTTAATTCCTAGTCGTAAAAAATTATTCGTAATATAGCCAGAGAAATATAGATATTGTGTGATGTAATGATCCACAATGTTTATTAATAATTTTTCTATTTGTCATACTGTTTTTGCGATATCGCCTTTTATACAAATAATTTTCGCGTGCGTTATTTGAAAGTATCTTTTCATTAATAAGCAGTTTTTCATCGTTATTAGTCACGATGAAGATCATGTAAAGTACATAAAAGATTCAAGCATGTCGCGCGTCGAGATACATTATTATTATTTAATCTCGACTCGCGCCGTTGTAATAAAAGTCTCGTTATTGCATTAGTGTTTCGTGATGGTGAATAGACATTATTGTCTACCATTCTGCCTCCTGGAGATAAACATTGTCGTCACAGAATGCGATATCAACGCGCTGTACTTTTACGCGAATTGAAGAAGGAAGTGAAACGATTTTGCGCGGTTCCACTTGGGCAATTCCTCGCTAAACGGATACGTCTTATCGTGGGTCATCTTTCGATCGAAGAGGTATCCCCTTCGGCGGAGATATTCGCGGAGGAGGCTGTCAGGTGGAAGGTGGAGTCACAGATGACGAATCTCGGTAAGGTTCTCGTCGACACCGTCATCGACACCGTCATCGACACCGTCATCGGTAGGTAGGTAGATAGGTAGAGGTAGAGGTAGAGGCAGAGGTAGAGGCAGAGGTAGAGGCAGAGGTAGAGGCAGAGGTAGAGGCAGAGGTAGAGGCAGAGGTAGAGGCAGAGGTAGAGGCAGAGGTAGAGGCAGAGGCAGAGGCAGAGGCAGAGGCAGAGGCAGAGGCAGAGGTAGAGGTAGAGGTAGAGGTAGAGGTAGAGGTAGATAGGTAGGTAGGTAGAGACCCCCCTCGGGCTTTTACGGCATGCATGTACCCCCCAGGTAACATTCGACCCCCACTTGCGGTCGGTTGAGTCGAATGTTAGAGCGCGGTCGGCGACGACCATCACCGTGGCGTCTTGCCGTCTTGCCTACAGTTGCAGTCGGCGCTTCACTTCGCGAGTACTCACATTGTGCGCGCGGCGACTACCCCGGCAAAAATACTCGATATTCGTTGCAATAGATAAAATGTAAATTGTAAAATCGATACCCAAATTTCTCGCGCGGAGATCGCAAAAAAAATCAATAAAGCGAGTAAGACTGAGAAATCGGCGTTTCGTTGCGGTTATGGTACGGACCCTCGCAAACACTTACTAGTGAGTTATTCGAGTACTTGAATTTCCCCGGGTAAGATCCAAGACAAAGTGTATCCGAGATCTTTACATCCAATCACGGTACGGACCATGTACTCTTGAGTTGCGTGTAGCACCGATTTTACGTGCGTTGCATAGGAAATATTTTCGTATTGAATGAGGAAATCACACATGCCCAGTAGTCTTTCATGTGCGGTATTCGTATGCGCGCGCGATAATGGTGACAGCGATGACAGTATTACGTTAAAGAGATGCGTGAGCGATCGAGGTGTATATGCATGACTCAAGCGATTGTCAGTGTGAATACAGTAGGATGAATCAGAAAGTGCGTGTGTCGGAAGTTGTCTTCACAAAGAAATCAAACAAATCAAGTACACACGCACGTAATTTGTAATTTTCTCATGGAAAAGTGCAGGTTGAGGTGATAAATATGTATATAATATGTACACATATCAAATTCTAACTTTTTACATTATGAATTATTTTAAGATACTCGAAAATATTTATATACATAATATTTGTTATATTTGCAACATTATTGCATAACACATGCAACAGCTTACGTAAACATTATTTCCATGTTTTCTATATACCTAATTGAAGACATATAAAACTGATGTGATGATATATATAAATATTTCGATTAAAATCTTTTACAAAATTCAGATATGTTTGAGCTATGATCGTTTGACAAGATTTTAACACACTTCCGAAAAAGTAAAGAATTACAAAGTGTACGTAAATCTTTTTGATCGAAATAACAGCCAGTTTTAAGGAATTCCACGATACTTATGCAAACTGACATTTTCACCCTCGTTCGTAAAATATCCATAATTCGATGCATCAGCCCGGTTAATTGGCATTCTGTTAGCTATGAAAAGTTCAAGGAAACTCGCGGGTTTCCTTAAAATCAGCGTTATATTTGGACGATTGCTTATTTACAATCGCTTTGCGTTCCATTATATGCTAATAAGGAGAGCGCGCAAACCGGCGGTAATTAGTCGTGTTACTTTACGCTCGAGTAAATTCGCCTGTATTAGGAACGCAATTATTCTCTCATGTTTGCGGTGATACCGGTGATTCGTTCCGTTGCGATTTGAGTTATCGAATGTGGTACGCATCGAAAGTGTAATTTCCAGAGCAAGAACTGAAAAGAAACGTATTAAGAAATCTCGATTAATTAAAAGCTAATGAATGGAGTGAATGAATTGTGAATAATACCAAACTTTCTTTCATCAGCAAGGTGGTTGAAAGCTATAAATCTCAAATTAATTCAATTCGCTATTTAAAAATTTTTTTGTTTCTTTAGTCATTTTATTGATTTTACTACTTTTTTAAATCAAGCAAATACAGGAAATTTGAACATACATAATAAATCAAATTTGTACATGTAATTAAAATTCAATTTTTATTTTGAGACTTACAAGTTTTATTATGCACGCGCGACGAATGGTTCTCTTTCCGGACAAAGTGTTATAGATATCATATCAAATGTTTTTATAACGGAACAAAAAAGAAATGGTAAAATTCTATCGGAATATATTAAAATTATGAAATTTTGTACTTTTTTTTTCTACAGTAAGACAAAGTCACACATAAGGAGCAAAATAAAAAGATTTAGCAATTAACTTTGCTTTCGTATATAAAGGATTAGAGCGTTTATTGTGCAGCACTGACCCTCTTTTTAATCGATCGCTCCGTAAATCACTGTCATCACGCGAGTAAAAGTCTAATTCGATGGAAAATTTTTCAAGCACTATCGAAGCGGAGTAATTTATATATACGTAAAATTTTATACGCATACGCGTAAATAAAGTGACAATGAGCAAAATCGCTCGCTTTTTCTTTCAATTGAAATATATAAAAATACATAATTTTCCTTCATCTATTCTATAGTTACACAGATGGTTCCAAAATTCCCGACTGTAATTTTAATGATAGATTGATTCGTTTGTATAAGATGCGATTAGAAAAGATTTTCATCAAAATAATTTCATAACCATAACCAAGATATTTGAATAAGACGATTTATCTCTTTTATTGTATTATGTCTCTGAAAGCTAATTCAGATATTGTGTTGTACTAATTATATTTTCCGGATTACAAGCGAGTTATTTTTATGTTGATAAACTGCGTTCTTTCTCAATGTTAATTTAAGTTTAATGTTAATTTAAAGTTAATGTTTATTTAAGTTTAATTACCGGATATTTAATTAATATTATACTACATTAATAGAAAATAATACATAATAAATAATACGGCTCAAACTTTCTTAAGAAAAAGTCAATCTTTCATTTATTATTTTAATTTGTCACTAAAATTAAGCCTGAGAATTCTGGAGCACTTTGTGCATATAAATACAACAGCAAGGATATTACAGTAATATTATGAAAATGTTTATAGAAACGTTTATGTTAACGTTTTCCTTTATTCGTGTAATAGAGTGGATCGCGTGAGGAACAGCGAGCGAGCGAGCGACCCTTTGTCGACCGATCAACGTCCTGACGCTGATTTCATCTCGCGAGATCGCTGAGAACGAGAGCACTTTGCTTTACCAAATTTGGCATCTGATTTGACATCTGACGTCAGTGATCAGTATAACCAGACAGAAATCAAAGTCAGTGCGAAAAGTAGACAGAAACAGAGGAACGCACATACCTTTCGTGCCGCGCAAAGAAGGATACGTTCTTACATGCGTTATTACGTCATCGCGAATACAAGTCGCGAAACGATAACGCTTCGATAATAGTATACACGTGCACTACGACAACGTTCAGCATCATACGCTGTGACGGCCGACGACGTATTGTCATTATACAGTTCGTCGCACACGTAGCGACAAATGCACCATCTTTGCCACGGATGACGTCTTGCGGGTTTTCGAAAATGAGTTGGATCATCTTACTGGCTTTCGGCGCCGTCTGTCACGGTAAGTATAAACTTGTATTAATTAAATTTTTTTTAATTGAACAAAATTTATCAACTTATAAATTGCTATATGCCATTGATTACTAAAAGCGATGCAAATTTATTCCACGTAGCTCTACTAAAATTGCGTCAAAATAATTAGATACGTTAGATCAATTAGATACATTTTTCAACAACTATGAGACATGAAACAAAGTGGATTACAAATAAATAAGTAAATTAAAAATAAATAAATTAATTTAAAACAGCATTTGTAAGTTAAAGGTGGTTGTTTATATCGTAATATTGTTTGCTGCGTTTTAAATATAAATAAATTTAAATATAAATAAATAAATAAACACACACGCACACGCACATATAATGTGTATATATGTATAATTTTTGGTGTTTGTGATCGATGCGGCAATGCTTCCAAATATAAAGTTGGATCATAGAATGACCAAAGATACTTATTTTTAAACGTGGCTGCAAGTTGACAATGCGACTTGTCGTCACACGAACCGCTTAGATATGCATCAGTTGTATGTAATGACAGAAATTTGATATGTCGTCGATTGATCGCCTCGACGAAAATTACACAATTGAGCGATTACAAGGACTTGTGATGGAGATTAATGCATTATGTAATGCAGGATATGCGGCATTCTTCGTTCGAGCGCGGAGTTTCTGAAAATCTTTTTCTTTTCCATTCGACGATAGATAGAATAAAATATTCTTTAAATCAGAGTCACAGTCTAAGATTTTTTAATATCTATACTAATATTATATTTTTGCGATATTATTATTTTTTTTGTGTACATTTGTACATAAAATTAACTAATTAAATTGCTTACATCCATAGATTAATCGTTTAAAAAATTTTATTTAGGGTTTTTTGTATAGAAGCGCTGGGACTTTTCGTTTGGTACAATATTTTTATTACACAATTTCATGTACACATATTTTTTACGCAATACACAATTCTATCTACACAATCGTATCTAGTAATGCTCTTCTTACTTTTTACTTCTTACTAGTCATCAATATCTGCAATAAAAGATCAATTATTATATAAATATAATATATACGTGGCTTCCAAAGAATTCCATATATTTCTGGAAAATATTTTAATGTATTTAATCAGATTTATAATTTAAACGAAAAAATATATCATTATAGAGCGGCTATTTTCTAGTTTCTCGGGTAATCTTCTTACAAGATTATATAATTTCAATGTTTGTTAAGGATTATACTTTGGACAATACTTTTATCGCTTAATCGCTTCTTGCCAATAACATGTTGCAAATTATCATCATTTGTACGACTCCAAAAGCTTTAACAAGGGCCATGTAGTTTCGAGTTCTGCGCTAAGATTGTTCTGCGCACGCTCTTTACAAGAATGCTTAGAGTAATATACGACTTATAATTGTTCGATTCGTCTCAAACACTAATGCAATTCTTTGAACGTTATTATTTTCGTACATGGTTCTCGTAACTCTCTAAAAATTTTAACGTTACAACTGACAAAATTATCGATATTTTATTTAATAGTTATATTTTTTAATAATTATATTTTATAATTATAAAAAATTACTCCACACGCGAAGCATCGTGTTAGATAGGTATTTCTGTAATTGTGTAATCATGGAAATAATATTGTCTGTAATTTATGCAATTTATTATTTTTCAGAATTATGTATATTCTCGTACTATTGTTTTTTATATATTGAAAACTCTACAAAATCTACAAAATCGCTCGATTAATGAAAATTCCATTTCCATTGGAGAAAGCATTTCGATCCGACATCGCCTTCCTAGCATTGAAATCTATTTATTTCTGGGCGCTTCAATTGATCCCCTTTGGCAGTGAAATCAGCTCGATGCGATTCTCTTCGCGCACACCTGCAATCTGTGTTTCGGGATCTCTCTTCTTTTTCTATATTCGCCGGGCACAACGATTGCATTTCATTAACAAGTTCAGCACGCCATCGAAACGCACGTGCGAGGCGAAGCGGCGGCGGTGCGCCAACAATCGCACATAATTTAAAGAATAATTTAAGAGGAATGCGTTGCGTTCAATACAAAAATTATTTTGATTTTATTAAGTATATTTTGACGTTGACTATATTGTATTGACTATGATTGTAATGACAAAACAAACATAATAATTGAAATTCACATTATTTTAACATTATAACATATTATAACTTTGTATGTTGATATAGAAATATGTAATAAATGAGTATAAATTATTATTGCACATTTTCAATATATCGAAAATCAACAATCGAGCATAAGTTAAAAAAAATTTTTTTACATGCAAAAAAAATTAAGATTGCAGAATAATAGTGAGAGAAGCATTCGTAAATTTTGAAATTAGTCAACTATTTATTCTCACGCGATACGTTCGAAAATTGCCCCGTTTGAATGAACCTTAGCCCGATGCCGACTTCTTATTCGCTTTCATCTTGCACATTGCTGAAATAACAAATCGGCGATTATGTGCGGTTTTCGCACAACGATGCTAAAGCAACGAAAAAGCGAAATCACGCCGAGATCCCTCGTGCGATCGTAATCAGAGCGAAACGCGACGTATCGCAAGCATCGTTTTTAACATTACTTATCATGCACAATTTCTTCGTCAATAAATTCTCTTTCATGTAAATCAATTGTTGCAGATGTAACCAATTAGATCGATATTCAGTTGCTGGCAATATAATACTACCTGTGTATACTTTGTTGTCGGTGATTTTATTACCTATAAGAGAGACACAAAATCGTATAAAATCAATATATCAACGGTCTCTTTAACTGGTAAAAAATACAATTGAGTAAAGATATCTCAAGTTTGATAGCGAGAATATTTGATAAGAGGTGCAGACAAATATTTTTGTCTTGATACAGATATGTGATAAAATCTATTGGATCTATTGGATTAGATATACATGTACATTACGATTTTTTTTTATACAATGTTAACGACGGCACTAGCGATAGCTCCAATGTGGGGCGAGTCTCATAGATTATCGGTGTATCACGCCACACGTTATACATAAAATGCATCCCATCGCCACGGGCGATGAGGAATCCGTACGAATTCCGGCGTGCAGTATCTCTTCTCTGCCTTTCCCCATCACAGGAGGCGGTTCTCGTGCACGTCGGTACCTACCTACCTACCCTACCTTTCCCTGCCTACCACACACGTGTTTGCATTCCAGCGCGATGTTTCACTAAATGCACGCATTGCACAGGGTTTAACCACCCTCCCGGAGGGAGAACCAGTTCTTTCGGGGCCGGTAACGCGTTGTGTCGGGATAACACGTTGTGTTGTACGCTTTATGAGGCGAGATGGAAAAAAGAGCGACAAGAGCCTGCGCGAAGTACCGAAATTCGTAAAGAATAGACTGCGATTATTATTTTACAATCGACACGATCGCCATAGTCTTTTTCCCATTTTTTCCGGAGATGTTTGATATAGTAAAAATTGCATAACAGCTATTGAAATACGGATACTCCTCTGGAGATATGCTAGAGATACCTGTATATGAGAATGTACATATCTCATTTCTGCACAAATTTATCGAAAATTTAAACTATATAATATTTAAAATACGTTAACAGAAAATAATCAATTAATCAAAATTAAACAATTAAAAGGACTGAAGATGAAAATGATATACATATATCTGTAGAAGAAACTGTAAAGTGAATATTTTTGTCAAACGGAATAGCAGCCAGGACGCAACAATGTCGATGCGCGACGCAACAACAATTCATACATGCGCGATGTTTTTGCGAAAAAAATTAGACGTTGCCGGATAATGAGGTAAATCACGGTTTACGCGGCTTGCAATCTGCCTTGGAGATCCTTGGACTATTCAGTAGTCAGATATGAGGCTTGAGCAATATGCTTGAGTAGAGCTTGGATGTTCATTGGGAACGTGTGTAACAAGTGCTGATTACGAACGAACGTCACGCGTCAGTAGATCGAATCTCATCGAGCCGAGTCTCGTGTTTTACTATTAATATTGTATATAAATAAAATATATGAATTATATAAAATACTACGATTAATATAAATTACTTGCGTATGCTCTTACCACACTTAAACTGCATTGAATAATGAAACGCCGCTAATCAAATAATGAAATAAACGGCAATCGATGTTTTTAATATACACAATCATCATGCTTTAAGATTTGTAAAAGAAAGAAATCTTAAAATAAGAAAATAGTTGGATACGTATGATTTTATTAATCATTGATTGTAGTTATTGGTTGATGAAAGCTCTCCTTCTCTCTTCCCTCTTCTTTTATCTTCTCCCTCTTTCTTTTCTATCGGGAAGGTAATTTTGATGTTTTTCTGCTCTTCTTGAAGCTGTTATAATAAATAGAAAAAGAATGAGAGCATAATAAAAAAGTCTAATAAAACGCAAAAATATTAAATAAGCTCGATGTTTTAACAATTTTCACGCGGAAAAGCCGCACGCGATTAACACAAAATAACAGCCGAGTCCTACGGACACAGGCTGAACATTCTTGCATATCCTTGACATGATCCGTGCTCAGCTCTCACGTCAGACATGCGCCTCACCGTTTACGGAATTCTCAGCTTTCAAGGCGTCGACGTCACTGTCGTGCAAATATGAAAAACGGATGTACACATGTACCTCGGCGCGAACGTACCTCAACTGTGCGCGAAAAAAAAAAAAATAGAGAGGGAGGATAGAAAAAATAGGAAAGGGACAAATTAGATAATTATTAATATAAAACACCGCCAGGCTACACAAACTGGTAAGCGCATAAGCGCCTAAACAAAATTGTACTTGTATACTCTTATATAAAGTAATGTTAGTAAATTGTTAAGAATAAAATTAAATAATATAAATAATTTGGTAGAGAAAGAATCAAAGTTTAGTCTTTTGCGTAGTAGGCAAAGTAGTCAAAATAAAATTTTAAAAAATAACAAAAATTATGTAAAAAATTATGCTCTTGTCAAGGATATGCAGAAATGCACATTCTATGTTCGCAAGACTCTCGGCTTTTATTTTAAGTCGACGCTGTGTGTTAAAAATGAATAATGGAATTACAAATAAACATTGCAAATAAAAAAGAGAGACAGGAAGAAGGGATAATATGTAAAAGAGCTTGTTTTGAGAATACTGCGGAATTGTTGTTGGCTATCGATCATGGAGTGATCTACAATTGATGATGTCCGTGATTCAAATATATCTATTGTACATCGGATGTATAGTGTACGATATCAAGTGAAGAAATTATGGCATGCAAGTATAAAAAATGATTTTGCGAGCAAATACAAATGTCACATTGATCAGATGTCATGATCTCCGGCTCTGACCGGTAACGGCGCAACTAATTAATATTCGCGATGAATTGATCCGTCGGTAATCAAAGAGTTGTAATCATTCATCATAGTCGCGCTCATTTCCTGAATCGGTTGTAGAAGAAAAAAATGGAATAAAAAATCAATTGAAATAAATGGAACATACAACTATTGCAAAGCTGAAAAAACTAGTAAAAATGGAAAATACGTATTCTCTTTTTTCACGCGCGCGCGTGTATGTGTGGAATGAGATTAATTTAATAAAACTTAAAAAATATGATTAATATTTATGGAAAGTTATCTCAATATATATATATAACAAATATAAAATTTATTTTCACAAAATAAATGTTTTTTATTACTATATGTGATTACGTGTAATCAATATTGTATAGATTTTTATCTGTAATAATAATATAAAAATTATTGTGTAATAATCAATTAGCAGCTTGTTTGAGAGCAGAGCAAGAGTAATAACATTAAAGATTTTTCATTTTTCGAAGAAAAATCTATTCATGATTTGATTATTTAAAGAATTCGAATAATACCCCGATGATAATGAACTCTCTTGTGTCTGAACCGCAAATGCTTTCTGTGCCTTCTAGGAAATTCGATGAGTAGCAGGCTTCTTTGAAGAATTTCCTATGCAGCTAAGCTAGCCTTGAAAAAACATTTTATTTTGAAATTCTTACGTTCGTAATTTTTTTTAACTAAATATATAATTTTTTTATTATGATGATTATTTCAATTTAAGCAAAATGTTGTAGTAATTTTAATTAATTACAATTAACTATCGAATATCCAACTCTAAAATAACAAAGTTTGATTAATAATATTTTTCTTTGTTTAAATCGATATACATATTCGTAATATCTCGTAACATATTTGTAGTATTATTTATTAATTGATTTTTATGGTTATACATAGGAATACATATTAGTTAATACGTATAAATTAATGCTACTACGCATCCGCGTTCTAACAATTAATAATTTTCATAATTATCGTCAGTTAAACATCCATGTCAAACAATGCCAGAGAAGATAACTCATGCGTAGATACCTATTTAAAGCACACACATTTCTGACTCATACACACCGATTAGAATCTGCTTTAATGCTGCTGCGCTACACGCAAGATTGTTTTTGACTTGAATTGTTAATTTTTAACAAACTTTACCTATAAAAAAGTTTATCTTGCAAAAATCGAAATTTACGTTTTAAGAATTTTTTATTTAAAAAATAAGAATAAGATATAGCATTTATGTTTTAATAAAATTTTAAACGTTTTACTTGTGCATGATTCTCTAAATAAATAGTTAATATTTTTTAGATTGACTGATTCTTGCATTTTTAAACGACTTTAACTTTAATATTTAATAATAATAATAACACTTAATAATTTGTGCGCGCGTGCGCGCGTGTATATCACTTTTATTGCGACAGAGACATGATGTATTCTGTCGCCGATCCCCGAGTATTTCTAATTTTTATATTTGAAAATAAATATATTCTTAAATAAAAATTTATATATTATCTATCTTTTATGTTAAAATTATACATTGTAACTACATTGTGCATCATACAAAAAAGGCGAGTCATAACTTGCTCTTCCTTCCCGAAAAACATGAGCCATGTTTCGATGGATCATAATCCCCAAATATCGATCTTTTAATCGGATTTAGCCAACCGGCCGTTCGATGTACATTAATCACTTAATTCCCCTGCTGAGATTCACGCATATTTGTTAAAGAAAGTGTAAGAAAGTTAGCGGTGACTTAGTGGAATGCGTGGGCTTCCTCGGCTCGAAAATTCCTGATCGGTGCCCTGCGGTGAGTTAATCGCATCCTATAAAGTAAGCGGGAAAGTTAAATACCGGTGAAGAGTGATGGGACCAATGTGATGTCGGAAAGTATGTTTTGAGTGAAATTAGAAATATTATGCATCTAACGATAAAAGTCACACAAGATGCTGAAAACCTAAAGAGATCAAATGCACTATAGACAAAAAATTTAGATTAGCAAAAAGATGAAAATAGTATGATTTACTATGTCATTGTAAATGGATGAAATGTCGCTATACATTTGAGATTGTTCTTTTTTATTTTTTGTAGACAATAGTTTTTTATGACGATACTAATATTTCACCTGATCCTCCTGCGTAAGTTTCCATTGATCCGTCAACGTCAACAATTAAATAAAAAGTGATGTCACATTACAACTATTACGAAATTATACGGAATTATAGCTATTACGAAATTGGTGCAACACTCGATTTCAACAATGTCAGCGCGGGGATTCCGACATACTATCGTTGGAATCTAAACAAGTCGATCAGCACACGTAGCGCGCTATAAAACGCGCTGATCAGTTTGTCAATATAAAGTGGAAACGACCTTCCACTGTCTACTACCAACTTTGCTCGTCTTGAGGACGGCGTTGATTAGCTCTGGCAAACGTTACGCGACGACACCAAGGACCAACTTCGGACATATAATTATGCACGTACTACATACCCGTCATGTAGAAAGCGTGCGATCAGTTGCAGGGACGCTCTTCTGTTCATGATTATCAGTGAATTACTTACAAACTTGTTATTAGATGTTTATTAGCTTTAAGAAATTCGAACAAAGTTTCATGTAATTTGATTTAATTTAGTATGTCAGAACGACAAGCTTTAAAAATTCGTTATTTTTTCCTCGTAGAAACTCAAAAAATATTTTTAAAAATATACAATTTATTAAATAACAAGATTATATTAAATCATTAATTGTTGTATTGCTAAAATTTCATCATATTAAAAATTTATTTGCTTGGTTAAAAATTCACAAAACCAGAGAAACCATACTGTATTATTATAAATTCCAAAATATCCAAAATTATACAGCATTGCTTGCATTATTATTACACTATGAATTTATAAGATTACACATTCTTTTATTTATTTATCGCTATTATGATATTTATATTCCGTTCTAAATTGATTTACTTTTACCGTTTCAGTGTTATATATATTAGATCTTTGTCATTTTAACTGGAGTCAATTTTTATATATTAATATTTATATTAATTTACGTATTTAATGTAATGTGTAAATCAAACATTTGTGAATAAAGCTGCAGAATTTGTGCAACAGTAATGACTGGTACAATTCTTATGCAATGTAAAGTTTTATGGTTTGTAAAGTTCGCTTCCCCCCCCCCCTCGCAAGTAGTCGCGACATATAGAAATAAAGTCGGCTATTTTCGAAAATTCAGGCGATTCTCGAGTTCATCTATCGATCCGACCCTGATTCTACAATATCTGCACATGGTGACAGACGCGCAATGCAAGACGATTGTCTACGTGACTGTCGTAGCTTCCTGTCCGATGTGTCCCACATATTCGTCCGCTCAAGTTCTTCACGCTGGACGTCTTCGCTCGACATCACGACGTTAATTTTCCAGCTGCGTTTTTTATTTTCCACATTGGTCTCTGTGATTTAAGAAGAATATCTTTACTCTATTAATATACATTTTGTTTGTTCAATGACGCGGAGCGGTTTCTTTCATTCATCTTTTTACTCGAGTGAAAATGCGCATCTACATTAGAGACATTGACGAATTTTAAAAAAACTCTAATGAATTTTCTTTTTATTTCCGTACCCTCATTATAACTATGCCATTAATTTTAAGCGAAAGCAAGACGTTATCAATCTTTGTCAATTGCGTTTTATTACAAATAAAAATATTTCAATTGAAAAAAAAGAAAAGAAAAAAAAAACTGTGAATTCAATTTGTAATTATTCTTTTGTTTGACACTTAGGTCTCCCTACTGTGGCTAACGAGTCGGTGGTTGATACGAGCACGACCGAAGATACTGGAAACGTTTCAGAAGCAACCACCGTATCCGAAGTGAAAGGTCATTCAATGGATGATATAATGCCGGGAACGAAACCATCGCTGATTTCTGTGCTATTTGTCGACGTTCCAGAGCATACGGAAACGGAACTAGGCTCGTCCGTGCTATTGGCATGTCGGACTGCTAATCCTGTGGCCGAGTGCCAATGGTCCTGGCAGCCTTTGCCACCGGTTCACTTGCCGCTTCCGGACTTGAGTGAAAACCCGCCGGTTTCTACACGTAAGCTCGATATCATATTGTTTTTCCGCGTCCTTGCTGTGTGTGTGTGTGTGTGTGTGTGTGACTTTGGACTTGATTCGCAGATACTGATTATATTTTATACTACGTTGCTCTAATTGTTAAAACACATTACATTGCCTTTATGATTTAAATACTTTTTCCCCCTTCATTGTGAATAATCAGAAATTTTTCATCAGATGTAGTCGCTTTTTGAATTCTTTTCGTGTTTTTTCTGCCTATTTCTAGTGCAAGTTGCCTTCTTCGCCTTTGCAACAATCCACGAAACTCTCATAGATAGATAACTTGCCTTTTCACGCCAGATATTATTATTTTCCGGAATGAATATTCATGAAAGTCGTTCGCTTCGATGTTTCGCTCGGTGATTTCAGCCACGGCGATCTCGACGATCACTACCACGGCAACTCCTACGACTCGTCCGTTACCAGTACGACAGTTTCCCGCGTTCGGCAATAATAGCAATGATTGCTCCGTAAGATTCTCAAGTACCAAGTACGAACAGACAGGATACTGGACCTGTGCCGCAAGAACGTCTACAAACGATCCTTTCACCAGCACTAAGCCCGCCAAGCTCAGCATCGTCAACGCTAATCACGGTAGGAGATGCGCAATCTTTTTAATTCCATCAATTTCAAATTTCATTCTTTAATTTATAAATTATTATAATCTTGATAATCTGAGCAATGTCGTGATACTGGAACTTAATCTAGACTTCTTAATTTAAGCTTGTTTTGCTGTTTCGTTTAATTGGTAATTATTTTTATCGGACATTCATTCATTAAGGAAAATGTGCGCATAATAAAGCGTATATTTTTCCCCCCGGTCTTTATTCATCTTGTGTTGATAAATCAATGTTTAATTAAATTAATTAAATCTCTGCTTAAATGTTTGCAAACGATGTTTGTCTAGAAATTCAATAAGATTTTATCCTCCTATTTTTTATTTTTCAGTCAATCATTTTATACGCGTTTTTTGACTTTATGGAAAGGAAAATCATTGTTTAAACCGTAATCTTGTTCTTCGATTAAAATTTTAATTACATGAGCATAATGAATAAGCGTAATGTATTTATGCAGTTGTTTTTGAACGACCTCGAATTCTTGGTGACAAACGCTTGATATTGCTGTTTATTTCCATTAATTGCGCCAATTGTCACAATATTTTTTGAGAACGCGTTGATACAAAATGTCATCATTACTTGTCGTACAGACTGTACTTCAGTATTTACTTAAGAATACTTTGTCAATAATATTTAATACTTTTCGGAGATATATATCTCTATTATATTTAGACATTACATTCAACTTGGATTTTCATTCCCAAATGAATTATCTAAAGCGAAAGACAAGTGATTTATGGAAACGCAGTTTCCACGACGCGAACTTTATTCGCTTTAATTAATTATTTAAGACGAATTATACCTTTCCTAATTAAAGCCAACATCATCGATTGGTAAAAGTATCTGATGATAGAAGCAGCAGCAATAGTTTCAGCACACTCTAAACAGATAGACTGAAAAATTTAGTGGGACAATTAATCAATTTTGTAACAAATTGTTCTTAATATACAAAATATATTCGTAGTATATTCTTTTCCTTAATAATAAATAGACTAATAATAATGGAGTTTTTTTTGTAATAATTATTTTTTTTCGCGCAAGCAATTTGTTAAGCAATTTTTTTATCTTGCACGAAAACAACGCATTACGTAAGAAGTAACGACGTGCAACTAGAACATTCGCACATTTCAGGTATTCTCATCACGTTCGTGAAACATGAAAACGTCATTGAAGTGCCAGCAGGATCTTCGGCACAAATAATGTGTCAGACCAAGTCGTCTGTGCGCGAATGTCAGTGGTCCTGGCGACAGCTGAACCAATCGCAACCTTGGAACCTCGATGTAAAATCGTTCCCAGCTTTCGGTAACAACAGCACAGAATGTAGTATCAAGTTCAAGAACGTCCTGCCGGAGCAGGAAGGCTATTGGACCTGCGGTGCACGAAGCGATCCGAATTCCTCATTCACCCAGTCCACACCTGTTCGATTCCTCATATCGGAAGGTATCGTTTTCATTATGGTGGTATTATCTTTTAGGGGTTTTCGTATGTTTTTCTACTAATGTAAGTTGTATAATATATTTTTGCGTGCGGCGAATTGCACAATAGATCATTTCTGAAAAATACAATTTGAGAAAGCATGTATGCAGCGGCGATTACATACCTGACATTTTTTTCAATCCAGCGTGTGTTCCATGCTTTCAACAATATATACTATTTCGTCAAAAATAGATTTTCTACTCAAAATTGCGCAATTTCATGCATCTGAAAAGTGTTCCCTATTTTTGGAGTACTGTATAAATGCAAGTGAGAAATATATTTAAAAAAATGAAAAATGCTTTCAAGGCCTCAACATTTAAATTTACGACAGTGCCCAATCAATATTAATCACTTCTTAAGTGTGTTTATAATTGTTAATTTTGTCCAAAATATTCTCCTCCGCCATCTTATCCTTCTCGTTGCAATGACTCTAATATTAATCTTACATTACACGACTTGTTTTTTGTTTGAAAAAAATCATCAAGATCTTTCGTTTCTCTTTCACAGTTGAATTCGTGCAGTTGTCGCGAGGCGTGCAAGTTGCAGCTGGTGAATCGGTCTTTTTACGATGCTTGGCGAACAAGCCGGTGGTACAATGCGAATGGTCGTGGAGAGCGTCAAACTCGAGCAAGGAACCGCTGTTGATTAAGAAATTTATTCCAAACAAGGACGCCGATCACGATTGTTCCGTGCGATTCAAGAATGTTTTGTACGAAGAGGAAGGACTATGGACTTGCGGAGTCCGTTTGACGCCTGATGGGATCTTGCATACGGCACCTGCGGCCACTGTCAATCTTTTGCCTACCGGTATGTGACAATTGCTTTAATTAAGAAATAAACGCATCTTGCATCTTGCGTATGTTGTTTTGTAGTGTTCGATGTGATTGTGTGCGTGCGCGCGCGCGTATGTATGCATGTATATGTGATTGATATCATGAGATGTAAAGTAAAAGTTGATTACTGTGAAAATGGATAAGTGCTAAAATATTACGAGTTCTAAGACAGCAGCATAAAATTTAAAGAACTGTGATAATACTTATTCCAAATTTTTGAAAATAAGAGATATGCGTAAAAACTATATATTAATTCCAGTTACAATTAATTGAAAAGAATCAGTCAAGGGAATTCACTATATTTTAATCATTGATGTGAGAATTCAGAGTAACTGGTGATTCAATTATATACTTTTCCTCTGTGCATTTTACCGTTCATTCATCTTACGTTCAGTGCCAATAAAATATAAATTGATTTAATCTTTGAAACGCGCATTACTTTTAACGTCAAATTTTACAAAGTTAAAAGTGGATATTTTTTTAGCTTTTTATTCAAAACCTTTCAATTTTAATTTATCTGGAAATTCACATTTTCTGTGTTCTCGGCGAAGAAAAAAGAATTCATCGCGTTATTTATTCGCATCTCGAAGAGCAAACGAAAAAGCTTCTTTCGAATTTCTCGGCATTAATCGCACAATTTTCTTATCACAACAATTACTTGCAGCTAAGATAAGCTTTGTCCAAGTGCCGATGGATACAGCGGTGCCAATAGGTACGGAGAGTACACTCAAGTGCGTTACCAGTAGCCGTGTGGAAAAATGCGCCTGGACCTGGAGGTCGCTTCACGGCAGCGATCCGGAAATCGTCGTCAATGAATTTCCCAGTAACGGTGACCTCGGTCGCGACTGCTCGCTCCATCTTTCGCACGTGTACGCAGAGAAACAAGGTCACTGGAGTTGCCAAGTATCCATTACATCGCTCAACACTGTTCTGACGTCACCATCTGCCAAGCTCACGGTTTTTGAGCAAGGTAGATATTACTGAGAAATTCAGCGTTATTGACACTATTTTCTCCTTTTTTCTCTTAATTTGATTTAACGACATTGTGTGACTATTTTATTCCTTTTTTTGTTTCCAGAGGAATTAAAGTTCTCGGAGTTGTCACAGGATATTCAGATCTCCTCCGGCGGTAGCGTTCTGCTGCGCTGCGTGACTTCTATAGCGGTAGAACAATGCCGTTGGTCACTCACTCCGGTCAACTCCAACACCACCGTAGTTGTGAAGCAATTTTCGGCAGCTGGAAACGAGGCTCGCGATTGTAGTGTTCGTTTGAGCCACGCTCTCGCCGAACAAGAGGGGCTCTGGACTTGCGGTGCTAGGATACACGGTCGACAGAACTATACGGATGCACCGCCTGCTAAGTTAAGCCTTCTCGAGCCAGGTATCATCGAGTCCTAAGACGATCGATCTGTCGCTACTTTTTCACTATGATAACAGGTGGTAGGATCGATCGTTGATCGATTGTCGTGTAATTCTGACGCGCTCGGCTTGGACTCATAGTTATAAATTGTTTACAATTATAACTGAATATCATAAATTAAAATAAACCTAAAAGCCAAAGTGCTATTCATCGCAGCAAATATCGAAATTAAATATTCATTAATGTAAATTTCAATTTTTCAATTATGGGTGTCTAGTCTCTGTGACTTTTAGTCTTTGCATTGCTCTTTCTTTTATATTATTTTGTTCCTTGGATCTTTTAAATTTATAATATTGAGTAATTGTAATAAACACGTATTATATTGGATAACGTGAGTTTAAGCCGTCGCATTGCACTACGATAAATTTTCTTCGAATAAGGACTTCTCGCGTGTGGTGATTCACGTATAAAAGGGACTTGTTTTCTCACTTGCAGCTCAAACGAGAGCGCCTGGTTTAAATTCATATTGACAGGCAACGAATGATAGGAACTGTTATGATATAGTATAGCAATTCAACATATTAATACTGAAATACCACATTTGAGATTCCCCCCCGTCGAGTTTTAGTAAATATGACATAAGACTGCCGCCTAAAGCCTGGTTAAGGTTGCTTTTGCATTCAATCGGTTCAAACTGTCTATAATATAACTCACTAGTGTAATAAATCACAAGACACATGTATTATATATACGTTTTAGGATTTGTGGTCTGAGCGATATCGCGACAATCGTTGCAACTAATTGCGATCGCGAGTGCACTGAGGCGAGCTGTAGGCGAATTTTGCATGTGCGTGTACATATGTGTAAACCATGGATTCTGACGCACGCACATCTTTGCGATCTACGGTAGATCGCAAAGTTTCACGGCACTAATATCGATTGGACGACTTTGTGCCATTGAGCGAACTAGGAAACTCAATGACAAATTATTATATCAAATTAAATTAGTAAGTTATTAGCGAATATGATCAATTTATTTTCTGACGTCAAGATATCCATTCAAATTACTTATCACATATCGTATATATCGTATATGTTATTTTTATGTTAACAGCAGAATGCGTAAAATTAAAAAAAAGAAAAGACAATGTCTCTGGAAGTTTTAATTCCATACAATAGATTGTAGCTTTCAGTACATTTCTTTTTTAAACGACATATCTTTTGTGGTTTTTGTCTATAGCAAAAAAGATTGATATTAATATTCGCGGAGTTGATTCACGCGACGATAATTCAGTTCTCATTGCGACACAATTCAATCGTCCAGTCGAAAGATAAAAACCGTCTTCATAACTTATCATTCCACGTCTGTGTATATTCAAATAGTGTGGAGGGAATCCGCATGAGGGAATCCGCAAATTGATAGCATGGAAAAGCATCAGTTAGCAGACCTCGCGCAGCAGGCGAAGGTGAAGGTATCGATACTCGTGAATGTTCCGAAAACTGTCGTGGACGGGATGACGTGTGACGTGGATTCGCACCAAGCCGATAAAACTTCATGTCATTAAATTAGCGGTGGAAGAGCGAGTGCTTGTGAGTGTCTGTGAGTCGTTTGTTGCCTATTGGCAGCCGCTCTCACATATGCTAGAGAAACAATTGCGATCGATTTTATCGTATCTGTAGATGCTGAATGAGAATGATACACAGTTATCACATTTCGTCTGTTACATTCTGTCACTTGTTTTCACAGCACGCAACTCTTGTTGCAAAAATCGTTGAGCTCAAATTAGAACGTTTAGCGACTTTTATATTCTATCTCTTAATCACGTAGTATTGTGCATTGAGTAAGAGGTAACAAAATGATCAAACGATTGCCGGCAGATGCAAATATTTAGTTTCATTGTGATATAATAAATTTTCAGTTATTAAAAAAGTCTTGTTTATTCGAAGAGCAATTTTATATGTATACTGCGCATTTTTCAAATTACATCAAATCGAACAAAACACGATAAGTAAATGCATTTTTCTATTATGTTGTTCAAAGAAATGGTAATCTAAGTACATTTTTTTATGTTATTCAAAAAATTACAAAATTATTATTTGTGTGCTTGTCATCATTTTCTATTTTATCACACAACACGCAATATTGATTTTTAACTTAATTGCATTGTCATGTATTTGCATTATACATTTATTACCGTTAGATCGTCCTACCTTATTACTGATCGCATTCGTTATTGTTTTCCACTGGCGATTCTCCAATAAACCTTGAAATTTATCGATTCGTCGTGCGCCGCTTGGCAAATCACAAATTAGCAATTTTGTTATTCTCGGTGGTTAAGAAGTCGTATTACACAAGTCGCAATAAATTGCGGTTTTTCCCTAGTAATCTACCCATGCCATTATTAAGCGATACATGTATGTATGTATGTATGTATGTATGTATGTATGTATGTATGTATGTATGTATGTATGTATGTATGTATGTATGTATGTATGTATGTATGTATGTATGTATGTATGTATGTATGTATGCATGCATGTATGTATGTTGTACGCTACACTATCTTTTTCATTCTCAATTATATGACAATACATTAAGAACATTTTATTGAAAAATTACACAAATGTCGATTCGCTTTCAATTGAAAATTAAAGTGTTCTTTTACATTGTAACACAATTATTTCAAACCATAATATAGCGACGTAATGAAAAAGAAAAACTTGTAAAAAAAATTCAAGTCAAGATTAAATACATTATAAGTGTATATTGCACTACTTAGTACTAATATAATAACGAAATATTAAAATAGGTTTTTGTTACATAACACTACAAAGTTGATAAGTTGAGAATGAAAAGATTATCGGATTTCTTCTTTTCACATATTTGTTCGCGTGATCCAAATTGCAATTGCAACTATTCTTCATGTGAAAAAAAGCAACATTTACCATCAGCAATGTCATTCATCTTTCATATTCTTATATTTATCTTTTCGTATTCTTATATTCTCAATGACAAAATTGGCATTTAGCACAGTCATTAGCCATTTTAGTTTAGAAGAAACGCAGAATTGATTGTATCAGCTTTAATAATTGTCGTCGTTTTGTGAGAAAATGTTTTACACAAAATCTTCGCACAGGTGATATCTTACATCATGTTACCCACAAATTTACTAATTATAATTAAAAAGACGAGTAATTTTGATTTTTTCTATTAAACTTTTATTTGCGCAATCTCTTTTTCTATTTCAAAAGTAAAATAATTTGTAATAAAATATCGCTTATATCGTTTCGATTTTATATCTCGATAATGTAAATACTTTAGTAAGATTTAAAGTTTTCTATATTCTATATTTCTTCTTTATTCTAATGTGAGTATTTTATATTAAAAACAATTGTAGGTGATAAAAAAAACTGCAAATTAACAAAAGATTGTTTAAATATTACGCAACGACAAATAAATGTGCACGAATGCGTTTAATGTTGCAGGCAGCATTTCTCATTATACATATTTTGCATTATTTATTACCTATATTATATAAGTTATCATTTTGTATGTGTGTGTGTGTGGAGGGGGGCGCTTTTATCCCCATCATGTTTATCGCTTAATTTGAAGATGCCTATTTTGATACACGCCCGTTATGTATGTGAATACTCATCATTTATGATACAGTTGCTATTATATTTAATTGTAATTGTAAGTAGGCAATTTTTAATATTAAGATCTTTTATCCAGAATATTCATGTTTATGACGATTAACACTTACTTGTTAATCGATAATACTAGAAATGCTGTCATGGTGTCGCTTCTGCAATTCGCGATGCATGTTTCAGCAATGATATTGGCACCTCAGTCTGACTATTTAAACTTTTTTAACATTTGAACCGAGAATTCACACACACGCGCACGTGCGCACAAACTTTTTATTACATAGATTTTTGAATAAATTAAATTTAAAATTTCAAGGTACCATGTAATAAGAAATTAGGGTATTTTAATTATCAGTTTTTGCCTTAATTGTAAGTATTATGTTTTATATTGGCGCTATAAAGAATTACGATGACTTATATGTATGCGATTGAATTCGAGCGGAATACATACTTGCAGAGCGTATGAATCTTCATGTGCCATGAAGTATTTTTAAGTCCCCACGAAATATTTGCGGATCCTCGAGCGTTTTGAGTCTCTGAATCACTGTAAACTAGTTTTTTTTTCAAATAAATGATAGTATAAAGAGTCACGGCAGGCTTCTCATTTTCATCATTTCGATTGTTAATTGTATTACAGCTAAACCTGAAAGAACCCTCCTTCAATCCAGAGTTATTACAACCAAAATGATCTTAAGCCCGTACTCGTCGAGTATTAATCGATAAAATGTACCAAAAAATATTGCAAGCGCTAGTTTAAAAAAAAACGCAAAATTTTATGAAATTGTAAATTATATATTTATTTATTTAATCTAATAAAAAAGTGTCTATTATATGGGATTTTAATATAATTTGCTCATTTTATGATAATATAAAGTTTTAATATATATTGTTTTTGTATCGTTGTGTACTCATAGTATTTATATTTACACTTTTTGTTAAAATATCTTAACATATTTGGCGCTTACAATTTTTCTTCTGGAGTTTTTTAAATTTTACTAACGCACGCGAGATCAATGCTGCACGCTCTAACGCGAATTAAGCACGTATCAAACCACAAGTCATCCATGCACAAACAAATGGTGATTGGTGATCAAGATGATTTACTCATTGGACTATCTGCACTGGAAATGTGTGTGTAGCGGTATTTGGTGAGTGGGATGAAAAAATGGAAGAAAGTTTTTTCAATAGTCTAAAGAAAAGATATATGTTAATAATGAATCTATAAAATATTAATACAAAAAAAATGTAATTAAGCATGAACTCGAGATGTATCTAAAAATTTTAAAAGATTAGAACGAGTTTACAGAAAAGATTTAAAGAAAAATTGCAAATACTTAATACTTTACGCGATGTTTCTTATCGCATTACATTTTTTTAGTAATAAAAATATTTGTAAGCTTATTATTTAAGAATAAGCAATATTATTCTAATAAAAATAATATTTTTTTATTGATTTTATATATAATTTACGGGCAGATTCTTAAGGCTGCAAGGATTGTAGAGATATTCAATTCAAAAGACGTCGATCATTTTTAGAACCCGTCACTATCGCGGTCTGGGCTGCACCCCATCAGATGGTCACTCTCGCGTGTAGAGTCGGAGCTGTATCGCCAGAGGCCAAATGCCACTGGATCCACGCTCCAAAAATTCACATCATACATCAGAATTCTAGCAAGCTTGCAAAGAAAGCAAGGTAACACTTTCCGTTTCACTCATGTATCTATATAACATTTTTATTTTTATTTATCCATATATCTTGATATCTTTACACTACTAGCTAATTTTAACACAGGCATAACGTACAAATGGATTATACTACGGGTATATGCAAACTAGTTTTTAAACCGGATCATTCCGATCTAGGGCAGTGGACCTGCAAATTTACACTTATGAGTGAAAATGCCGATATTGAAATAGGAAGCGCGACGCTCGTTCTATTGAACACCTTGGCAGGTTTGCTAATATATAGATTATTTATATATATATATATATATATATATATATATATATATATATCTGATTATTATTATAATTTTTTAAAATCATTTATTTTAAAATATACGGGTTTGATTTTTTTGTTTTTTAACGCATTCTATACATAACTTTTTCACGTGACTTTTTATCATTTTCTACCAGCTTTCTTGTAACATAAATAATTTTTTTATATTATACAGATGAGAAGCTTGGATGGATTGTAGGTGCCTTAACGGCCGTAATACTGTTCCTGATAATCATTGTCGTGGTACTAGTGGTATGCAAGGCGCGTATCTTTGTTCGCAAAACACCTGAGATCTTGGAAACTTTGCCTCCTAGCGAAAGAAAGCAAAGCGCGAGGTTTTGTGGTGAAAAATATCCAGAGAAACAGGGGAAGATCAATCTTCAATTTATCGATGACAACAGACATGCATCAAATAAAGAAAGTGTCATACCGAACAGAAGTCCTCGCATGTGCGATCGCGCGGAGAAAATTCATGGAATACCATCTAAAATATATGAGAATGTTGGATTATAATTCAGTGTTACAAGCGTTTTCCAGTCAGTGCTTTTTTGTCCTCTGCAAATTAATTGAAATATGTGTTTTATGTCTCAAGTTTAATGTCGCTATTAAAAAATATATATATTATTGATAGAAAAAGTAGTGCAAAAACATTTATTTTAAATAAAGGACAATATAAGATTCCAAAAAATAACAAAAACTGTAAATTACTTTGTTTTTGTAAAAATTACGAATTACTGTGGATATTTAATACTGTGGCTATTTATTGTATACAGGGTGACTCAAAATAACCTGATATCCTTGCAATGCCATATTCTTGAGCGAATTCTGAGACGATTTTTCCTTTTACAAAATTTTGTCTGAAGCTTAGTTTTCGAGTTATAATTGAAAATAGATAGCAACTTACGAGTTCGGTACAACGGGCAGGTAGGGACGCGCAACGTATAATAAGACTGTCAAGTGTTTACTATCGTCTCATGACGCATTACATTGTCCCTGTCTGTCCGTTGTATCGGACTCGTAAGTAGCAAACTATTTTCAATTATAACTCGAAAACTAAGCTTTGGACAAAATTTTGTAAAAGGAAAAATCGTCTAAGAATTCACTCAAGAATATGACATTGCAAGGACATCAGGTTATTTTAAATCACCCAGTATATTGTTGGGGCAAAAAAAAAAAATTCTTGTAGGCGAATGTAGCAAAAAAATAGCAAAAAATTATAATATAATTCATAGTTTGTTCCGACATACGTATACCCTATTATTATGACTTCGGTAGCTTAAGCTTAAGCCATCTAGCTCTTCGTAACTTTGTAATCGTTGGAGCCAAAAATTATTCTTGCAAGAAAAATGTAACAAAAAATAGCAAAAAAAATAATGGTATAATTTATTATGTGTTCTGACATACGTACATGTTATTTTTACAATAAATTCGGTTGCTGAAGCTTGACATCTAGCTTTTCGTAACTTTTTAACCGTTGGAGCAAAAAAATCATTCTAGTAGGCAAAATGCAGCAAAAAATATCAAAAGAATTCTGGTTAGGTCAAGGTTCTGGGTAGGTAAAGTAACGGGATTTACTCCTGATAAGGGGGCAGAGACATGTGAGCGAACCAATACACGACAAGCTATCTCGAGCTTCCCGCAAGGATGGCTGAACCGCACGGTCATTTGGGCTTAGCAAACCTACGGACCTAAGCTCACACATTGCGGTTATACACACACATATACACTAGCGTACATACACATTATACATACATACAACACACAGTGATCAGTACCATACAAAATTTATCACCACCCCCACCAGACTCAGATGGCTGTAAGAAGGGAGATCTCTCGGTCCCACAACACTACTCTCTCTCTCTCTACTACACATCTACTCTACTCTATTATTCCGACAATTAATAACTAAACAAAATGAGAAAAACTTGCGCCTTAAAAAACTGTTGGAACAATAATAGTATAAAACTTTCTTTTCACAAATATTAAAATTAAAACTGTGATAGATCATACAATGTATAAATATAAATATGTAAAGATATCCCAGACAACACTTTGACGCCTGAAAGACATCCAAAAATCGCTAAGACGTCTCACGAAACTGTCAGAAAGACGTCTCATGTCACGTGTGTGGTTAGCCCAGCACTTTTCAAATTTTACATTTTTCTCAATTTTGCTGAATCGTGCTATGTCAGTGCCGATTTGTGCCGTAAATGCGAAATCGATAACTCAAACCACACGGTAAAAAATTAAAAAAAAAATCAAATTTGTACCAGGGCGAAACCCTTTCTCCTATTGAAGAAGAACGAGAAGAGAAGTGGATCGGGCGGAGGATCGGGAAGGGGCGCGGGAGAAGGTGCGAAGCCCCATCCCCGCCTTTGACTCAGCAAAATAAAATTAAAATAAAAGTTTCAAGTTTCTAAATTTGAAAGCCGGAGCCCCGTTAGCCGTCGCGATGTTCTCGACGTTGCCCGATTCTTATTACATGAATGTGGGCTCGGCACATGAACGGCGTACGGGTCTTTTGAGAATCTCGTTTTTTTTTTTTTTTTTTACAACGTTCTGTTTTCATTCATCGTCGCTGCTGCTACTGCTGCTGCTGCTCACATCACTAGTCGAGGACGTGCCGTCGATCTCGTCGTCGTGGTCGTCATCGGATGGTGGTGGTTCCGTACCACCGCTTGTCGCATCGTCCTCGAGTGGTCATATCATATATTTTCTCGCGACGTGATCCGCGCAACACTCTACTTCCATATCTTCTGGGAAGTCTGTTATTTGCATAGGGCGCGACATCGCGATCGGGACGTGAACAGCGTGCGATGTGGAGCAAGGTACGCACAGTGTGTAGCGTCACGGCAAGGTACAGTACAGTATACGATGTGCACGTGGTGCACTCAGCGATCCAGTCGCTCTGCAAAACTACCGAAATAAATAAGCAGTCTCTCTCAAGGGTAGTCTCTCGTCCGATATAAATCTGCAGACAGGCAGGCAGGTATACGCGGATATTCAATCACGTTTATTCGTATTCCAACTTTAGGTGCGAGGTGTTATCCGATTGGTGAGTATCTTTATCAGGACAAGCAAGGGTTGGGTCAAGGTCCTCCGCGATGGCACGCCACCTTGACGCAGTGCAGAGGCTCCCATAGCCGAATCCTTAGAGTCGCAAAACTCCGGGATGAAGGCATGGATCTAAGAGCATGCCTAGGAGAAGGAAAACTTTGAAACAAACCTGGCAGTCTGGCCCGTTAGTCGTGGGAAAACACGGCACCAGACTAGAGGAGTCAACCTCGAAATAAAAAAAAAAAAAAAATAAACCGGGCGGGTCGGCTCGATTGTCTTTAAATAGATCTTCGGCCCAGAAAAAGGCCTGTTAACCTCATAAGCAGGGAATTTGTTGACCCCTCGGGCGGCCAGGCTCGTTAGCTCAGTGGAGCAGCTGGTCTAGAGGAAAGAAAATCTCGAAAAAATCTATGGAGATGAAAAACTTATAATCAAACCTGAGACTTGGTTGATCTCGTTAGCACGCCGGTGCTCCGGCACAGCGATCTGGGGGAGGGACAGCCCTGAGCACAAACTCGGGGAACCGGCCCAGTCAGTCTTGTCAAGCGTACCAAAGTTTCATTGCTTTTTTTTTTTAAAGGGTATAAATGGTCAGATTAAATAGGAAAGTAGTGGAGCTGTCTTGGGGCAGCAAGTTAAATGATAGGTTGTGAAATGAAGTATCCCGAGTTCAAAACTCGGTCGGCTTCTAAATTTCTCAACGTTTTACAATTTAGAGCAAGAGATAAGATTCAAAGTAAAAATCCAGAATTAAAAATCCAGTGTCAGGTCCAGATGTCACCCTGGCGACGGTTAAAGTTATTAAGTTGCGCCCGATTTTTCAAAAAATTAAT